GGTCTCATTTTGGAATCAAGAGTTCTAGATTTTTGCATTACATTTTTCTGGCTGCGCTGTCACAAATTCTTCACTTAGGGCCCTGCTGAAGTTTAAGATTTTCACATTGCTTTTGGAGAAACCGTATTGGTGACCTCCCAAATGCAGCACCTGGAAACTAGCTGCCCCCTCTCTCCTTAATGTGACCCCCCCAAATGCAGTGCAGAGAAACTAGCTGCCCCTCTCTCCTTAATGTGACCTCCCAAAATGCAGCACATGGAAACTAGCTGCCCCTCTCTCCCTAACGTGACCCCTCAAAATGCACCACAGAGAAGCTAGCTGCTCCCTCTCTCCTTAACATGACCCCCCAAAACACAGCATAGGGAAACTCTCTCATTAAAAAAACCCTTTTTGACTCACTTTTTATTAAAACATCTGGCTCCTTTACTATTCATAAGATCCAGAAAGAGCACACACTGACTGCAGAGGGCTTCCTCAGCCCGACGACCTGAAAGCTTGCAAAAAAGAAATTCCCCCCACACAACTCTTTAAGTTGGTCTAATAAAAGATATCCGCTTTCCCCAAAGACCCCCATCTGGAATTAAAGAGGCGCCGTCCCTGCCTCAGGCCGTTTCCACCGAGGAAGGAACTTTATTAACTAGTTAACGTTCAAAGGGAGAGAAGGCGGCGACTGGCTCCTATCGATTCAGTAAACCCGTCCCTCCTGTTGCAAAGTGCTCATTTCAACGGAGGGAAAGACCGAGGGAAAGACCCGCTCGCCGGTGGCAGAATGGAAATTTTTGGGAGGAAGCACGAGGGGGTGAAGAGGTGATAAGGAGGAAAAAAAATGAAAAAAAGAAAAGGATAAGACTCTTTCCTGCTTGCAAGAGAAATGCAAGCCGGGGGCACACAGCCAAGAGGGCCCCCTTCCCCCACCTAGCCCCCGTCCCCACAACACGGGCACCTCAGGGGAGAGGGATGCAGGTTGCAAAGTTGCAGCTGCCTTCGGGCAGGGCTGCAATGCCAGCACCACGGCCCCCCTCCACCTCCTTCTCCTCCTCCCCAGCCTTCTGCCCGCACAAGGGGCCCCGACTCACGAGCAGGCCGAGCAACAGCAGCAGCCCGGCCCCGCCGCCGCGCCCCACCGGAGCCATGACCCTCCCCGCTCCTGCTCCCGCTCCGCCGCCGGCTGCTGCCACGTCTGGCCGCGCACGCGCCCTGCGCGCGGGCGGGGCGGGGCGGGGCGGGGCCGGGCATGCTGGGACTTGTAGTCCCGCCCCGCCC